TAAAAAAAAAAGAAAAGAAATGGCGTTTAAATGGCTGCAACTCCTTTATACTGTAGGAATATAGTTTAAGCATTGTCTTAGACCTCATAATCAGCCAGTATTTATTCAGAAATTATCATCCGTTTTCTTGTGGGTTATCTGGTAACTGAGAATGGGAGGTTAAGAGCTGTATATGACCATAAGAAAGCCAAAGGCTCTTACAGAATGAATAAAGGTTCTTTTTCTTCCTTTACAGAATTTACAGTTGCTCTCTGTCCATTCCACCCACCGCTGTCTTCACTGCACATACACAGAGACAAAAATCTAACTCAAATACCCACTTTATTATGCATGCACTCCACCATATTGAGGTCTCTTTGGGTCATTGTTTCTAGCCCCTGTCCTCCACAGTTGTTGACTCATAAGGAATAGTCCATAAATGTTTGTTAAATGAACATGCCTTCTTGAAAATTCCTTTTTTCTCTAAGGATGCATTTTTCTACAATAACTGCAAAATATCTAATTTGTAAATGAATCTAAAACTACATAGATAAACTGTTTTTACATCTTCCGCAAGAAGGGGCCCTTTTCCTTGGTGTACTGAAAAAGCTTCTGTGTGAAGTAATGGAAGAAACATACTTTTTGTAAAAAAAGAAAAAAGAGAGAGAATGGGGAATGTTTCTAAAGATTCCTCCACTTCTCTCTGTGATTATGTATTCTAAACCTAGGAATCTCTTAATCTAGAACCTCTGGTTCCCTAGAAAGTCAATGAAAGGAGGAGGAGGGCAGATGTCCATGACTGCCCTGAAATTATATTGAAATTTCTGGATGTGTGCAGCTTTTCTGGGGAGAGGATCCCTAGCATTAATCAGAAAAATCTAAGAACTATTGCCTTAATTTGTTTTCAAAATTCTGTTCTTGAATTCAGCTTGAAGACTATAAAATGCTGTGCCTGGTGCTGAGGACACAAAAATGACAAACAGCCTTGAACATAGGTTGTTCACAGTGTAGTGAGGATAGCAATTAAGTTCATAATACATTGAGATAAATTATCAAAGAAGGGTATGCGTACAGAGCTTCTCTTGTTTTTCCCCAACGCTGGCTGACTCCATTGTGCAGTTAGACCTTGGCACCACAAAATTTTATGATTCTCATCCACCTGCCACCGTAGGCTTATTTCTAACAAAATGGTCGATTTTCTCTTTTCAGCGTGTCAGCAGTGGGATTAACGGTGTTCTTCTATCTGTTACATCCAGGGGTTTCTTAGATCCTGTGGTTAAAAGACTCATAAACAAGAGATGAAAATATTCACTTTAACTATTTTTATGTATTGTGACCAAGTGGTTATAAACCTCTAGCCTTTAGAGGAATGACTCTTCTTGACCTGGTTAAGTATTATATACCCAAGAGGCATTGGAACATCCTATTAATCTAGAAAACAGGCTGTTAAAATGATTATTGAGCTGCTTAGAGAAGGTCCGGAATTAGTCAAGATTCCTTACTTCCTTCTCCCATCAGTGTTGTTAATGTTCTTTTACTACTAATAAGAGCCAAAGGGAAAGCACTGAACTCTGCAATACCTCAGTGCCTATTATTTGTAACTTCCTTATATGGGAACAGCAATCAACTAAACGTTAGATCAATGAAGGACTGTAAAAACTTCAGAGTTCCAGGGTTCGTGACAAGGACTGAAAGTGGACTTTAAACTTAACCTTATTTAACTTTATTTCCCTGTATAAAGGTACAGTAACTTATTTAATCAGTTCACTGTCAATGAACTTTTAGGTTGTTTTCACTCTTTGGATATTAAAGAAAAACAATGCTGCCAAGATTATCTTTGTAAATATGTTGTTTTCCACATTTGGTCAATTTGTCTGTTAAATTCTTAAAAGTGTAATTCCTGGTTCAGAGTAGAGGCGTTTTAAATGTTGGCAGATTGTCAAATTAGAGCCATGTTTCTTTACACTGTTTATTACAGTCGTTTAACATTGAGACAGTGGCTGAAGATAAAGAAGGAAAAGTGATTAGCAAACAAAGCAAAATATCTGGCGTGGTATCATTTATATTGCTTTCTTTCCCCACT